CCGGGGGCGGCGGCTGCCTCTGTGTTTCTGTCCGTAAAGGCTTGGTCTTTGTCCTGCTGTGCAGCCAATGTGTGGGGCATGGAGTCCAGCAGTGACACCGGGACCAAGTTTGTGGGTCTGCTGATGCCATAGGTCTGTGTGTGAAGGCTGTACAGATGCTGGGGGATGCCAATGCTGCCACCGTCCAGCAGGAACTGGGACAAGAAGTGAGTCTGTGCTGCTGCTGATGAGAGGGAGGAGGAAGAAGAACAGTCAGTCACATGGTCCATTCATGGTCTACTGCTAGTAATACTAATTAACTATTGATTACGTTTTGGTCTAAATTTTAAGGTCAGTTAACCTTCTCTTGGTGCTTACATCCAAGCTTTTTCATTTTGTTTATCAGACTAACCTTGTAAGCTGCTGCAAGGTTGCTCAGTAATGCTGTCGTTCATTGACCAAATGTTCATGGAGGCTTCGGCCAGAGCGAACTGCTCTGCTACACCTGCCAGACCACAGAACACATTACACTGTGCTTTTCTCAGAAGCAGAACTCGCTGTTGTTTTTCACCACCATGAAAAATAGAGGTTTATTCAATAAGTGCATCAGATTTGAGTCACAGTGCGTGGACATCTGAGGGGATATGGATTGGTTTTTTTTGGTGCCATTCCCTGTGCAGAAACCAATTGAATAAAACAATGCCTGCAGGGGGTTGAGCATCACTTTATCTCCAGTGACCACGTGTCCTGTTTATCCAAGTGGATTCTGGTCCTTCGTTCTCACCTGCAGCGAAGCGAGCCTCCTTGATTTCATCCGTCATTTGTGAGTAGAGTTGTTCATCCTCCTGTAGATCTGCTCCCATCCCTGCCCAGCCTCCTCCTCCTTTACCGTAGGCCCAGTTGCCCCCACCTCTTGCTTCACCCCCTCCACCCCAACCCTTCCACTCAATCAGGTGGGCAACTCGCCCCTGGGCCATGGCTGTCGGCTTTGTGATATGCTCCTTTATCGTGGCCACCAGACCTAAATAAAGAGAGGAGAAGAGCAATGAATCTTGATGGAGAGGATTAGATAAAGGCTAATGTGGCTGAAAACGATGTGGGATGTGGCAAACCCTGGTGAGGTAGGAGGCGAGGGAGACAAAGTAAAGTAAAGGGGAGACTGCAGATGGGTGAGAGAGAAATTAAATGGATAAAAACCTTCACTTACAAATAAAAGACCATTTACAGAATAATAATTGATAAATGAAAGTAACAATGTTTTCTGTCATTTTTACTGGATTGGACTTCACAGTGCAGTGCAGTGCAGTGCAGATGATGATTGTTTTTGTTTTTGTTTGATTTAAAGAGCATCGCTGCAGCTCTGCATGAAGCCCACGTGTACAGAAAATCTAATTTCAAAATACAATCACAAACACAGTGAGCAATTTGTTCCCTCAGGTGACTGGCTCACATTTTGACTGATTGATATTGAGTCAGTCGACTCTGATTCACCTCAGACACGATGTCCCCATGTTACAGACGTTAACTGTGAGCGAGTGACAAATATCTTACAGTGATGACGTATGGGAGTCATTTTAGGGAATGAAAAGTCACGAGGTCCAGAAACAGAGAGTCATTTTCGGCTTCTGTTAAACAGTTAGTTGTTGTTGTTGTTGTTTATCTGCAGAAAGTGGAGGCTGAGAGTTGTTGCCACTGCCCTTTCAATAATCCCTATTGTAACAGTGGCTGCTGGAAACACAGAAATATAAATATGTTTAAAATATGTTGTAATGTATCTAAGCATGACTATAATGTTGGACAATAAACATGTCTAAGAGAATCAGGTGAAAATAAAATATAACCTTTGCTAAGGTATAAAGACGTTTCTTCATAGACAAATAATTAATAAATAACCCACAAATGTATCACTATTATTATTATTATTAATTAATTAGTAAAAAATAGATTGAAAAGGTGATTTAGAACAAAATAAAATAAAGATTAAGAAATAGAATTATAACATAAAAGAGACAGAAAATGTCAGGACTTGAGAATGGAAGGATACCAGACAGTGAAGACTTACAGGAAGAGAGTCTGGTTAACTTGAAAGTGAGAAGAAAATATGCGTGTTATTTTGAAATGATCTCAACAGACTGTGTTTTGTTATACGCCATGACACCCACTGCTGTCTCACCTTGTGTTCACACTGTGACAACTCTGTTGTGAGACTCTGCTCTTGCTGCTGCTTGTGGTGTAAAAGCTGTGCTGCATTGACGTAAATAACAAGACACCAGCAGGAAAATCCTTTCTGTTGGTTTTTTTCGGTTTTGTTTTTATGGGCATTTTTGGAAGTCATTTTCACCAGCACAGTGTTTCTTTGTGCAGTCAATGGCAGAGTGCAGCTAATGAACGGGAGCCTATTTTAGACACTGGCTGCTCCTAAGGCAGATGCTGAGTTTCTCTGAATATTTTCTTCACCTAAATGTCAGATTAGCATAGTCTTTATGTGAATAAAACAAACCCTTTTTCTTAAAATGGTGAGGGGAAGCACACACTTAAAATTATATTCATTTTCCATTATGGCCAGTAATTATTTTAGTTTAATTACTCTTACCCAGACAGTCATCAGGTAATTTTGAAGGGAAGATTATACAGAAATGGGTTGGGGTATATCTGGGCAGAAAACCAAGGAAGTAGAAGGCTGTGGTGAGGGAGGGGTAGGATCAGCTTAAGACCAGACTGAAACAACTTTCTTCACAGACTTTGAGTATGTTTCCACCTCAAAGTGGTAAAAAATTCAATTTAGTCTCAAATTTGAAGGGTATTTAAAACTGTTAGAAATATTAATTGTCCCATGATAGGAAAGCACAACAGGTCAATAATCCTATGTACTTAGAGAACTTCAGTTATAGCAGTACAACTGTATATATTTGCAATCTAACCTTCACTACATAACAGAGCAGCTCTCTGAACTCTAGCCATCAACTGTTCAGAAATTCTCACTTTACTATAAGTCAGACAAAAACCAAATATGGCACAGTATATTATTCGAAATTTAAATACATTCATTAAATCTTAATTTTGTATACTGTCAGCTCTTTCCAGCTGATGTCATCTCCACTCTGCATCTTCATCTCCAGACCTATAGCTGAAAAGTGATCAAGCGAGAGCAACTGTGAAAGAGCAGGTGTCAGCCCCTCAGCCGCCTGTCTTACTGTCTGCATGTTTGTCTGACATATTCATGAGGTTCTCTTTGGGCTCCATAATTATACTGTCAGAGCAATAACGGAGCGTTCAACGGGAAAAGTTTAGCAAGGAATAAGACATTAACGCTGATAATTAACCTCTCACTGAGGGAGACAGCGACCGTGGAGATGAGGCAGACACACAAGGAGAGGAAATAGAAACAGAGAGAGTGAGGTAAAGGAAGTAAAAGGACTAGGGATGTCTGATAATATCAACCGCTTATTGGACATCAGATTAGATTAGCTTGAACTTGATTGATCCTACACTGAGGAAATTGCTATTTATTAAATCAATTGACCATATCAGGTCTTTTTTTTTTGCAGTATGCAAGCTCACTAAGTAGCGTTTGAATAACAGCTAGATGGAGACCAAAAAAAGAAGTAGTGTGTTTTTGTGTGTATCCAGTCTCACCCATCAGAGAGGACGTGGCGAGCTCCCCGATGTCATAGTGGCTGCCTTTATCTGCCATGTTGCCATTGGAGGGGTTCTGACCATCCTGTACGTAGGGTGTATAATAATAATAATAATAATAATAATAATGTAGCAACATTATACAGGAACTAAAAAGAAAAAAAAAGAAGGTGATATCAAATCATTATTTTAGAACAGTTGCCAAGCTGAATGCTTTTCCTATTATCCTTCCCACACTACATTATGTGGATCAGTATGTACAGCAGGATTTGCACCAAGGTCACATGGTTGGATGATGACATCCCTACCATGTGGGTTTCAAAATGCCAGAGAATTGGTGGTGTTCACTGACCACCTGATGTCAGTGACATTGACATTTGACAAGCTACTATTGGACAATGATGCCACCCTTTGCAGTGGCAAATAAGAGAAGCCCATGGTTTAGTGTTTTAAGGACCAGGTTTGTAATAACAGGGTGATTTATCCTAAACAGAGACAGAATACATCATGTTCCATAGAGTAGATTTAAGAGTGATGTTACATAGATTTAACCCTGCAAACTGCAGAGTACTTCCTGTGCAATCCCATGACCTTATCCTCTAACCACAACGTATAAATGTACTCTGTCCATTTCTTATAGTACATGGTCTATTATCTCCTTATAGATAATACGTTTCTACAGTCATATCTTTGCAACCCACACAGACTGCCATCAGGGATATGTGGTTGCTCTGGGACTTGAACCCAGAACCTTCTGCAATTAAGGCAGATGTGTAAGGAAGGGAAGGATAAACTGTCACCACAAGTAACATTTTAAGTGTCCCCTTCAAATACTGTTGCACTAGGAACGCACATACATAAAAACAGACACACATACACTTTTCTTCTCTCTTGACTCAAATACACTTTTTGAGTGAAAGGGTGATAATGACAGTGGACAGCATGACAGCAGATCATCTTTGGAAATCCAGCAGCACCCTCAGCCCACCTGGATGAGCTGCAATAAAAGAGATTTAGTTGTTTCCCTAAAAATACCCATTGTAAAAAAAAAAAAGAAAAAAAAAGAGGAACAGCTCTTCAAACAGATTTCTTAGTGTTTTGGCCACTGGGAAAAAAACAAAGTATTTTTGTAGATGGAGCAAATAAAAAAAGATTGTTGGTAAATACAGACTCATGAACACATGATGTTTGCTTCCAAATCCAACAGCTGGAGACCAGTACAAAATTAAGTTTTATAGACAATATAAAAGTACAGGAAAGGTTAAATGTAAAATGACCACAGTGAGAAACCCAACATCCTTGTTGGCTAAAATATTGTTGTTTCTTGGTTTCCCTTTAGGACCAAGTCAGATTGTATAGTCATTTTCAAACCATCAGGATCATTTGAATTCATCTGTATTTCTGAACGTGCTTTTATTGCAGTTGTGGTGACAGTTTAAATTAGGATATTTTAAACTGTATTCCAGACATGATTGAAGTGCATTAGTAATTGAAGGTCAATGATTACATTGTAGCTTTTGTTTTAGGTTAAGGTTAATAAGTTAAAGAATACATTTTCAGTTGGTGACTGAATCCCCTAATTTGTCAGGCATATACCTCGAGTTGTTTTTTATTTTATTATAGATTTAATGGCTGTGAATGTTTTGGCTCAGGCCCAGCAGGCACTAAGCTTGCATCTTACACTTTTAAGCAGGCTAAAATGCAAACACCTTCACTGCTCTGTTAAATCTTTTAATGTGAGGAAAGAAATAATATTATAATAATCTGCTTTTCTTAATTTTTAAATGTCCTAATTCACAACAATAAAAAGGGGGGGAAATCTTAAATGTTTTCTACTGTGTCTCTCATTACATATATCAGTGTATTTGCCTAAAACTGAGCTTCCCTTGTTATACAAAATACACTGAAGGACTTTAGTTCTAAAGAAAAGAACACCAAAAAAAAAAAAAAAAAAAAAAGAAAGGTATGAAATATGTTGTTAAAGTCTATAATTGTGAGATAAATGCACAAATAGGACCAATGGGAGGTTTTCACTGACCTTGGCAGTGGATGTCTGACCCTCCTCAGTCTGATCCTGCAGTACTGTCATTGGAAGGTGGAGATCTGTCCAGAATCACATAAAAACAGACGTTGTTAACATTGTAAAAAAAAAAAAGAACACCAAAAAAGAGGGAGAGAGACAGACAGACAGAGAGTGAAACAGAGAAAGAGAAAGAGAGTGCTCCTCATGCAGAATCTGGTCCAATTATGTCCAATTTTGAAGCAATACTGACTGATGTGCTGTATTAGTCATGAATGGTTTTGGTTAAAAGCACAGCCAGGCTGAATTTGACTTATTCACAAACATTCATGATGATCTCAAGGAGCCAATGCAGAGAAGCTGATGTTTCACAGGTTGCAGATCACAGCTCTTGTTAAATAAATACATTGCCATTAGTTATGGTTATCAATAGGTGTTCAATGTGCTGTGTATGTGTGTGTTTGTGTGTAATTAGGCATCATGCCGATAGTGAGAGAGACTGAGATTCATAAATTCATTTCATGGAGCCTGTCAACATGTTTTAGTTTTAGAAACATTTTCGTTTTTAACTGATTGTAATAACGCTCTAGAATGACACGAGGAAACAAAATGTGAGTGAGAGCCCTGATAATTATCATTAAGGAAAAGGACACACACACACTCAGACCAACTCATAAACAGGTCTGGGGTATCCCTTGGGAGGTATCTTCAAAACAAGTGGCCATCACTATGGAAACCCTTCAGCAACAGGAGGCGAGACATCTTTGTACTTACTGAGCACATAGACAGATGGAGCGGCATGGACTTTTTCCTTGTCTTCGACCTGAAAGGGCTCTACACCTATTATTTATAGCTTTTTATAGACAGCCGAGAGCACAGGTGCACCTGGTGGCCAATATTATTCTGCAAGTAGTATCAAACCGAACAGACCCATTATCAGGTAATTCATAATCCTAACACAGACCTGACTGCAGTTTGCAGCTTCCTTCTACTTTGTGACAGAGAAGCAGAAATAATGTTCTGTCAAATGGTTCTAAAATAGAAAGGCACAGAAAGCAAACCCCGCCCCCATGTGGTATGGCAAGGTACTGTGCAAACAGGGAGGCCACAGACCCTGACACGCAGACAGACATGATACTTGATCAATCCTTCTATTTCTCATTAATTTCTAACAAATTAGGCTAGAATTAACCTGGATATGAATAAATATGGATTCTTTTTTGCATTTAATATGAAGCCAAATACTTGTTGCTCCCATATTTAAGTTTATGTGGACCACTGTGATATTATTTATAAGATGCATGTAACAAAAAGGTAAAGGTTTGAATTTCACAACACCTCCTTTTAGATAAAGGTGATTTACAATAATTGTTAGATCAACATTTTTAACCAATCATGGGGTCATCCACAATCAAATTATTATTTTTCAGGCCTTGGATTAATGCCTTCATATTTAGGACCAAATAAGAAATTAATTATTATTTTTATTATATAAATATTCTAGAAATTGTTGCTTCCAGAAACAAATCCCAGAGTTTGTTCTTGTAAATCATAAGGCAGTCCCTGACTAAAACATATTATTTATTGTGTTTTTTTATCTTGGAGGAACTGTGCTGTCCATCGTCAAAAAGAGTATTTAATCTTTGTCAATCTATCTTGGTTAAATTCAGGTTATAAATAATAAAATAATTAAATACATTGCTTTATTTAAGACTTCTTTCATCTCGCTTAATTACTTGTAACTCTGTTTTTATTTTTTTTTAAATGGAATGTGTAACTTTTTTTATCTTTGTACAATGTACAAGGTTTCAACAAGCTGTTTAACAAGCAAATAAAATAAAAAAGGCCATAAAAGGTAGCAAAATAACATAACCGATTCTGTTTCATACATGTACACACACATTAATACATTTGAATACATTCGTTATCTGTTTGACTCCAGCCACCATGGTTTTTCTCTCCACTTATGTTCCTTCGCACCTTGAAAGTGCTGCTGTCGTTGCCCTCCATCCTTTGTTAAAAGCTGCCCCATCACTGAACAAAAGACACTTAAATTATTTTTAGTCTGCACTACACAATCAACCTGCAAATGTGTGAAAAAGTAATAAGTGCTGCTGGGAGTTGTCACAGATCGATGTTCTAACTATCTGAAGCTGTGTTTTGGTGAATGTTTGGCAATTTTCTGCTCATGTTCTTTTTAAATTAGATCATTTTGTAAATGTATCAAAATGTCCCTGAATATTTACCTAAACCACTGGCGTGTAGTAAATATTAAAAAGACAAAATGACAACCCTGGTCCCATCTTCCAGTCACAACAGTTTGACATCTCTAAGAGCTGTCACAGCTTTCCTCCACTGATCCTCACAATCCCTGTCATCAACCCTCCAACCTCTGAGAACTGTCTCCAAAAGTAAGACTGCAGATTCAGTCCAGTAAGTTTGAGTGTCAGTGCAGTCGTGCTAGGATTTAGTTTGTGTTATTGCTATTGAAAATGTAATCAAGGTAGTTTTTGCCCTTCATGTGTGCTCTTGATATTTCACTGATGTCAGTCTGTCCTAGCTGGATTTAGAAATGATTGGTTATTCACTCTGATGTTCCATTCTCTTTAGTTCAGTCTCCTCTGACCAAAGCCTTCAAACACAAACACACACACAGACACACTTACACAAACACACACGCAAAAACAGTTGGACACTGACCTTTGTGACCTTTGCAGAGGCAGGCACCCATGGTCTTGATGGAGCAGTTATCTGTTCACCATTGTGGCCTGCAGATAATGATGATGAGAAAAAAAGAGGAGGAAGAGGACAATCAGCCTGAGGAAGAAGAGAACAGAAGCAGCATAGGAAGCACTTGTAGCAGAAGTACAGTATCAGTCAGCGGAGGAACCGAGGAGCAGGGGGATTAGTGAGGAGCTGAGGGAGGAGAGGAGGACAGTAGAGAAGATGCCCGATGAGCTGGAGGAGGCTGATGCAAAAGCTGACTTGTCTGTCAACGAATTTTAGGGAGAGAGGGGAGAGAGAGAGAGAGAGAGAGAAAACTAAGTGTGAGGAGGGGGCTCAGAGAGAGGAAGAGAGGGTTAGAGAAGGGGGAGCAGGGAGAAAGCAGTTGGCAGACCAATCCCCTCCCCTCTATTTCTCCTGTTCTCCTCCCACTTTATTCTAATGTTCTGCACGACTGCATTTGTCGACATCAGAATCATTTTTTCCTTTTCTTTGAATTTACCACGTATTACCATCCGTCACACTTCTGTGTCCTCATCTCCAGCTCAGATGATCTTTCTGTAACAGAGTCAGATATTTAATCAGGAGTCTGCATTGACATTAAACCAAACAGTCATCGCAAGTAAAATAAACTGTTTCCTTAAAAATAAGCCACAATACAATACATTACATTCAGCAGAAAATTCATAAAATGGTTTTAAATAGGTGGCAGAAATGCAACTGAACTGGAAAAATCTGTCATTAAAAATAAGAGGCGAGGAGATGGGAAGGATCAGCTCACCACTAGCCATAAAAGAAATAAAATTATTATGAAATTATTCTTGTTATTTATCAAGTAATTCTCAGCTTCACCACAAAAGTGTGTGTGTTTGTGTGTGTGTGTGTGTGTGTGTGTGTGCGCGCGCAGGGGGTTACTGTAGCAACCAAACCACTGTCCTCTTTTTGAAGCTTTTTGACTAATTGGCTGAAGGAAGGGGGCAAGGACCCACAGGGTGATGGACAAAGGAGGTGATGCTGATAAAAATGACTAAAAATACCAGCAGGAAAAAGTCAAAGAAAGAGTTAAGTAGTGTTTCTCCCTGTTTCTGAGATCAGTTTAAACAGGCTGCCCTCTGTTTTAACTGAAATACTTTTTTTATATCAGGTTTGTAAATAGTAACTGACTGTTTTTAAAGACATTTTATAGTGAGTTTTTGTTACCATCTTTATACAAGCCTAAAACATTTTGTAACTTTTTCGATATTTCTGGCCAATCCAGTTTGCTCTGCTCTAACATCTTTCATCATTTTGACCATTTCAGACATTTTGTGATCCATATCACTTCACTTCAAGTGTTAGAAAGAAGAAAAGAAAAATAGGTAAAAAACATAACAGATACATAGGTAAAAGTATATAGGTAAAATCAACTGATCTGGTTCTGAAGTTCTGAATCCAAATTATAATAATTTTTAAGACAGGACTTAAAACTAACTTTTTCATGTCATGTGTTAATTTTAATTATCTTGTATTTTAAATGCTTGACTTTATTTTAGAAAAATTAGGAAAGGAATTAGGAAAAGAGGGGAAAAAGCACAATCATTTAAACAAATTATCTGACTATTCTGCTACATCAAAAACACATGTTTTTTTGAGAAGTGGTTCCTTGACGAAGAAAAAAAACAACCAAGGTCCAGTTTGTTCGGGTCCTGACTCATGCAGTAAGTCAATTGACAAATAAACACTCTGAATACTCAAGACACCACTAAAATAAACACGGCAAGATTGTCTGAAACCCCATCAGTCCTGACGACCAGAGGCTTTGGGGATTAGCCATGTTCAAAATAAACCTTGTACCTTCACAATTGGAAAAAATCCCCAGAGTGTCTTTAAGTTCATGCCCTAAGTCATGAACCTTGGAAAACCTTTAAGGAGTTTTTGAACTGGATCCAGAATTGGTGGACCCCCGCTCCCCCTCGCCCCAGAGTCTACAGTATTTTGATATCAAGACTAATGAAAACATTAAAACAAAAGATGAATCGCCAACTTTTTTAAACACCTGTTCAATTCTCTCGGAAACCACATTTTAATAAAGTGTAAAACTTCTCTTACATCAGAGGGGGCAGTATTACAGTTGCATTCTGACCTCTGGTGGCGAGAAGGCATAAACGCAGTAGTGGTTTTCCTGTCGCCTAATAATGGTTTGACGCTTATACTGTCTGTACACGTGCTTTTGTAACAGCGCTAAGAATGGTCCTGTAGATTTAATTTATCGATGGACTGTTTAAGAGAGGTTTAGAGATCGTTTCTGTCCATTAGCTCAACAGAATGTCGTCTTTAGTGATACTACAGCAGACATTTTTATGTCTTTGACCTTGAATGATGCAAAACAAATTCCCTTGAAGGGAAAATCCTTTCCTTAAATTTTGGAAAATTCTCTAGTTTTCAGTATTGTTGATTTTAATTTTATTACTAAAATTTCTTAGTTTAGCTTTTGCTAAATTCAAGTTAAAATGGAACCCCCATTAACCTTTTCTGTCCACTACATAACAGACTTTTCAAGATTTTGTAGAATTAAAATTGTCAATGTAGGTGAAAGTTAGAGTAAAAATACAGCAAATAGTACAGCTACAACTACGCTAGCACAAAATATTTTTCAGCTGACAGATAACTTCACATTAGCAAAAATACCAAGTTGACAACTTTGAGCTCAAATATTATCTTAATGTAAACTATTTACATAGAATAACAAGTGACACTGACATCAAAACTGAACACAATTAAGACAAAATATAAGTCAAAATTATTTCTAAAAAATGTAGTTCAAAAGAAAAAAAACATGAGTCAAACAATATTAGCAGCAATAGCTAACAAGAAATGGCCTAGGAAATACATTTTTAAGAATAAGACAAAAGGAATGCAACGAGGAAACATATGCATAAGATAAATTACAAATATTTCAAATTGTACCAAAACAGATTTAACAAAAAGCTTCTGTGTGCAAAACGCATTTCCCTTCTTTGGTGCAAACTCATGCTTTCCAGCATTTTCTGTGAAATCTTTCTATATAGTTCTTATATAGGCCTGGCCCTCTACTGTACTATGAACTTCCATTTATTCCAAACAGATAAATCTTACATTATAATCTCTCTTTTTTTTGCCCAGGGCAGAGCAGAACCATGAGGAGAAATAAAACCCACATGATTCTCCTCAGTGAAAAGCCACAGACTGACAGTCATATCTTTGCTCCCTGAAGGCAACGCAGGCGCTGGATTCCTTTCACTTAGCAGATGTTTCTCAAACATTGCTGTTTTATATACACATCAAACAATGCTTTTGTTTTATGGAGATATTTGTGATAAAATAGTGTGATTAATTTCGTCTTCCATCACAGAGGGAATTTACACCTCGTGTTTTCGTCGCAGCCTGCATTAATGAGGGAACTTCCCACCGTGATGTGAAATACCAGTGAAAAACGAAGATGGGCTTCTTTTCTGAAGGTATATTTGAACCTGTAAGGTCAAACCGAAAGACCACCATGCTTTTTATAGACCTACGCAGTTTCTTACACACACACTCAGAGACACACACACTCCGATTTCACACTAAGTGCTGCCCTGTAAAGTCCTCTGCTGCTACCCAATGGAATCTGAGGGAACAAAAAAAGACAAAAAAAAAACACACACACACAAAACAAGACTTACCAAATCAAAGATTTTTATGTGAAAACCCAGCATGTTCTGGCTGCATTCAATTTATCTGAGGTTGTAGGAGCACGTGCAACAACAAATTCAGGCTCTGATGACGCTCTTGTTAAAGCTTGTTTGGCCTCTGGTATAATTCTTTTTGAATAAACTGGGAAAGTGGCAGCGCTCTGAGGTTCTGCTTCTATTCAAAGTGACCACTTCACAGAGAAAGAACATAACAGTAATAGAATTCAGCCACAGTGGTTATGGTCAAGTTTCTAGTGGGGAAAAAAAAGTCAAGTGACTTGTTCTGTAATGGTTTTGTTAAAGTCCAGGACGGAGCTTGACTGACACTCTGTCTGTGGAATTTTAAGTTTGATGAGATGTTGAGATCATGACTGACAAACCCTGACGGGACAAAGGTCTGAACTCTTCCAGACCCTGTTTCAACTGTCGGCATTTTGGCATTTTATGAGAGAGAAAAAACACAGGTGTGTGCGAGTGCGTGTGTGAGACAGAAGATATTACTAGAGTGCATTCCACAAGAGTGACTGAGGACATGGCCCCCCATGTCTGTGAAGCCTCTTCACTATCATGGATCACTCTGGTAAAAATGAGTCAAGGCTGACAAACTCTGTCTGGGCTGTAACCAATCTGATGAGACAGAGTACGTTTTCAAATTTTTTTCAGTGAATATCAAGATACGTACTTTTTATTATCTCCATGTTTAAGATGTAACTTGGCCATTTCAAATGACAGCTGTTGAATCAGACTAGAAAATCAACAAATCAGTTACAGTATAAAACAAACAAAAAAAAAAAACTTTGGCTAATTCTCCATAAATCTCGAAAGACTTGCTACCACATATAGTATATTTTGAAAGTTCTTAGTTTAGCATTTCTGTAGCTTTGTTAAGCCAAGTGAAGCTGGGTATAAAATATTTTTAACGATACTTAAATAACTAAAGCCATAAAGTGAGTAAGCGTAAATTCATGAGAGTGGACACATTGAATACACATTTTTAAACATTGCCATTAATTATATTCTGAAAAATCTACACTCAATATTATTCTTCCTACTGTTTGTGCTTATGTTTGTAGGAGAAAGAAACGGGAAAAACGTAGAACAGACCTGAGAAATTGAAGATATGACTGTAACTTCAAGACAACTTAGTATTAAATAAATGCAGATGAACACTGCGTGTCACCGAGAGAGAGACATATATATTCACTGTCTTCCACATTCTACTATCAAAACATAAACTTTTAATAGCATATCATGAATTACTCACATCTTAACATCTTCAAATTAGGCCGTTTAAAACGGTAATATCTGTGCAGCTTACCCAAGGTTAGCCGCCACCGCCGTCCGTCACTAGCTTCAGCTACAGGTACTGATTCTGCGACACATTTTGGCACATTTTGCGGCGTCTTCCTGAAGAACCTGCTTTATTCTGTCCCGTTTCCATCCCGCGGATATGTATTTAAAAGCACTTTATTAAAAAAAAAAAAACTAAAACCATGCAGTAATCAGTCTATACAAAAACCCTCGCACGCTGCAGGGAATGCGGAAAGCATTTAAAAAGTCTGATTGGAGTATCCCTCTGTCAGTCAAGAAACGAACCAATGGCCGCTTAGTTAGTCAGGGGTTAAAAAAAGAAACACGTGGGAATTACTATTGATAATAGTGATTGGGCCAATTCAGTGTCAACGTTAAACTAATATATTTCCCCACCGGAAATTGCACCAACGCCCCATGAGTAGTCCATCTCCTTGTAATTTGCAAAGCCAAAAAACAAACATAAAAACCAACCGAACTTTTAGCCATAATGGTAAAAACAAATTTTAATTTACACCGTGGACTTTGAGAAAAAAGGAAAAAGAAAATAATACATTTGATTTGCTTTAAATACTTCAAAAGAGAAAAGACTGCACAACAGTGGAGGTATCATAAGTGTAAACTCCTGTCTTAAACTTTACTGCAGTATATTATTTTACATTATTTCAACAATCGTACCGTTAACTTGTTTATTTTCAACACTGAGAGAAACCTTTAGTGACTTTTCCAGGCACACAGCCATGTAAATTATTACTGAATCTTGGAACTAACTCAGTTCAAGGGAATCTACATAACTTTATATGTGTCGACTTCTCTCTCCTCTCTGACTTACTGTCATGAAGCTCAGTGTGATGTTTGTCTCCTGGCTGCAGCTCTGTAATCAGTAAATACACACAAAGTTGCTGTTGATCCCAAAATACTGGAGGAGCCTGTATAGACACGGTGGAGTCAAGAAAGAAACAACCTCCAAACCCTTACATTTGTCAATGGCTGTTTACAGTATTTGATCCTCATTTTGTAACTCATTTGTTTAATTTGAGTTCACATCACTCATGTGTGTCAAAGGGTGTGAGCTGCAGAGATCTTTCTGGACCCAAACATGTTTCCATGATCTTATCTTGAACCTGTAGGGCTTTGGTGCGGGCCTTTCTGTGTTTGTGTTCTGTTCAGTGATGACAAGATCTACGTTTCACTATCGCATGTCATTCATAAGTCAGGAGAAGAGAAGAAAAAATAAAATATGTGTTGACCTTTTTTTTTCTTTCTTTCTTTGCTGCCTTTCACGTTTCACTCACTGATTCCAGAGACTCATGTGCCAAGCACAACATGAAGACTGCTGGGAAATACCTCACTAAAACAAGGGAGGACGGTGTGGTGTCCAACATGACCGACCATGTGAGACGTAGTGAGGAAGTGTGAGGACATTCTGTGGTCAGCCTGCACATGTGCACCAGGACCTGGAGGCTCACTTTCAATTCTCTCTGTAACAATCACATTCACTTGTATGCACTGTATGTTATGGTTTCTCCCTGTCAGAACTCCCACTGCGCATGACACCATAATATTAGCTCTAGACTCATATGATAGACGGGGTATGCTGCGAAAAAACCCCACTGTCTGCAGATTGACCACTCTCTCCTCCCTTTCCTGCCACTTCTGATCTCTCTTTCTCCATTTCGCCGCAGCGGCACCAAAATAACCTGCTCTCAGCTTTGCGGAGAACATATTTTGATGACACTAACGTAAAAACCCAGCTTCATCTCTCAAAAAGACATGTAAAAAAATCAGGGAGGATTTCTAGCTGGCTATTGGGCATGGCTACTTGGCCGGCGGCGAAGTTGGCACGGGTCTCTCAAGGCTACAGCAACAGGAAATTGCATTAATCCAGAGCTGAGCTAAAGTAATTCACTCCCTTTCTTTATTTAAGGCTCTGCCAGAGTTTTCAGCAGACCACCTCGGCCGAGTTGGAAGAGGAGGAGAAGAATTGGGAGGCCTCGGGGCCTGACTGAAACCTCCCCTTCCATGTGCTCCCTAATTGGCTTAATGACCGTGATTATCTGCTGGGGTGCATGTTGTGCTGGGGACGATTAATGGCTTCCAAAACACATGCAGACAGACGGAAATAAAGACAGAGGGGAGGAGTGTGTGTTCTCTTGTGTGCATGTGTGTGTGTGCGCGTGTGTGTCTACACACTGCAAAACACAAAAAGAGTCTTCAGACATGTCCAGCTGGGACCTTTGGTCTCCTTCTTCTTTGTAAGGACTTTTGTGTGAGTTTAAATGACCATTTTTCATTTTAATTAATTTTGATTAGACTTGTCAATAGGCCACACGTGAGTCTGTCTGTCTGTACAGAACAAACCACCCATGTAGTTAGGAGGTGAGGCTTTATAGTTTTAATGATCCTCCACAAACATCCGCATACATGGCAGCAACCACTAACCTCTAAGAAAAAAGTCAACCTGTTTTATTTCCCACATGGCACCGTGGCTTGAGGTCATCTTTTTCCTTAGGTTTTCGCAGCAGTTGGCATCCCTGCGGTGCTTTACTGCCATCCTTCGCTCATGTTGTCTTAGTCTAAACAGTCAAGGCCCCAGCACCACAACAAGGGTTTCCTACGAATAAGGAGGTAAGAATTAGCCAAAAACGCACAGTGAAAATTAAGAAAAGATTTCACAAAGTATAGAAAAGTTCTGCCATAAAGTCTACTGTGACTCTAAAACACATTTTATTATGGGCTATGTTCTGTCCTCAACATACAATTTAAATTTTGCCATAAATTTTAATTTTCTTGACTAACATTGGCCTATTATTGAGTCATTTAGTTCTGGCTCTAAATCAGAGCCATTTTTTAAAAAAATTCAATCTAACTGTGAAAAAAAGCTTTTGTCTATTTTATCTGAGTCGGGATCAGACTAGACCATTTTGGCTAAATGTTTAATGAAATGTGTTGTATAATTTTTTTCTTAGCTAACTTCGGACAACTTTAGACTTGAAGTTAACATGTATTAATCTTTTGTCTACTTCTTTGTTTAGTGAAGTTTCAGCCATTTCTGGAGTATCATGTAACTATTTTTAGACTAGATTTTGGTAACTCAAGAAAAACAATTTGAAAAGATGATGAACACTTGTGCAAAAAAATAAATCATAATTGTTTGTGAAAATATCATGGATGACCCTGGAACATATTTGTTTTCCTATTTGAATAATAAACATAAATAAAATACAGAACAGGCTTTTTTTAACAAAGTTTAAAATATTATGATTTAATAATACAAGAATGATATCTCCTGGTTTATGGTCATTTCTATAAAACTGTGTCTATCGTCTCTTTGGATTCACATTAGCAGCAAAAAAAGAAAGAAAAACCTTAACCGCCTGTTTAAAAAGGAAAAAAAAAGTCAGTGCATATTGTTGAGTCTGGTTTTATATGTGAACCCATCATCTTTTTTTAGGGTAAAAGCCTAAAATATGAACCATATGACTTTCGTCATACTGTATAGCCTTTAATCCCGTCACCTCAGGTTTGGACCCGTGCCTTTAAACAAACATCTTAAAGAAGATTTTAGGGTTGTTGTGGCCAAACAATCAGGTACAGATGTTTTGTTTAAAAAATGTCTGGTCTAAATGCAGGCCTCTGTTTTTTGGTCAACAGCAGCAGCAGCAGCAGCAGCAGCTCCATCATACCCGTAGCACCGACATGTGTTTGAAGGCTCTTAAAGAGAGACCTGTGAGAATTTTAATGTGTTGAGTGACATCAGCGGTGCCATTAGCAGGAAATATGGAGTGAATTAGGCCACCACTGCTAAAATATACAGATGGTCGGCACGGAGAAAAAGGCCAGTGTCGACAGGGGCTTGTGTTACGGCTCTGTGCTCCCCCTCATGTCGCCTGGTGCTGACATCAAACAGATCTCAGCTGCAGTTTGGGGGGATGTAAAATTCTGGAAACAATTATTTGCTCCTCACTATCTTATTAAGCAACGTTTATTACAGCATTCACGTCCTGCAGCTCACTTTGTTTCTGCGTGGAGCAGACCCTGAGAGGAGCTCTGGCAGCACTCAGGGTGTAATCTTGAATGTGAAATCTCAGTGGAGAATGCAACAAAATTTAGGGGAAAATTGAGGGGCTCGTAGGAGACTTAGGGTAAAGAATAATCTGCAAAAGTCCTGGAGTGGTGCACGGTGAAAGAGAGAGAGAGCAGTGGAAAGATGCAAAGACCAATATAGACAGAAATTGGAGGATGTGTTTTCTGGTCAGGAACCCGTTGCTAAAATTAGTGTGGATGTAAATTCCTCAGCGTTTTTTAAATCTGCGCATGACACCGGGAGATGCCAGGAAAATATAAAACAAAAAAAGGAAAAAGTACGAAAAAGATGGAGGACAGTGGTACAGGGAGAGGTCATTCATGAACAGTGCCATAGTTATGTTTACTTTCTTCCGTTCCTTCTTTTTTAAAATGACCTCTTAGAGAACAAAGACATCTAACAAGCCACAAGAAGGAGGAAAAGGAGGAGGAGGAGTAAAAGCTCCAGAAACCATGGCCCCACACACAACAGTCCTCAGGGGGAGGCTCAGGGCTGGGACGCCAAGCACTCAACACAATCACCACACATGATATTGTGGCCTCACTGTAAAGCCCTGGTATGGCTCAAATCTCCAGCTTTCTCCCCCTCCTCCACCACAACTACCACCAGGCCTCTTTCTGCCCCCCACCCATCTCTCTCACTGTCTCTCTGTCATTTACTGTCCAAATGACACGACACAAAAAACTTCCACACATTCAGCCCCCGCAGAGCAAGGATAATCTTGTTACAGCCGAGGACGGAGACACAAACCCAAATTCCTGCAGCAGTCAGTTTGGACGCACTCAGACGTGGATTTGCATAAAACCCAAACAGTACAATCAGCAGCTAAACTGTGCGGCTCCGCACTTAGTTTTTCCAATTCTAAAGAAAGGACAAAATAAATACCGCACTGTGAAAAACTAAGGAGATGGATGGATGGATGGATGGAGCATTTGCATAACTTAATAACATAAGAATAAACATTTTTGGGAAAAAAAGTTAAAAAAAACAAAAACAATAACAAAATGGCACTTCAGGAACAAATCTGTCAAATAGCCTGGAGTTAGCCAGGAAGCAGTGACAACAGATTGTATATAACTAAGTGTTAGCCAGGAAATAGCCAAAAATCAGTTAAAGACTAAGGTTAATCTGAAATATAGCAGAAATTGTCAAAAGTTAGCTAACATTTTTAAATATTATTGATATATAACTTCTAACCCAGATAAAAACAGTTTAATTTTCCACAAATACTGCTAAACGTTAGACAGCTGAAGACAGCTTAGAATTAATCAGACGATACTTTAAAAAGTAGCTGAAAACAGATACAAATATAGCCAAAATGAAAAAAGATAGACTCTTTCTGAATGTTGTTCAAATATTGGGTTAGACAAAGGCAGGAGACAAAGAGTCAGGAAAAAAAGACACTTGTTGGAGTTGGGATTCAGGTTTCCATGCTGTTTTTTCCTTGAATACCTCTCTGTTGACCTACACATTATTTCAATAACTAAATATTGACATTCCCATTATAGTGCGCCACTCTTATCTGAGGAATGCATGTGCTACTTTGTCATTTGCATCAATCAAGAAAAGCTGATAATTTTCAAAAATGTGAGGCGCCACAGGGACTTCAACCCACTGCAGGGTCAGAGTGACTCTGATAAGGCTGAGTCAGAAGATCCAAGGGGATGAACTCTGAGGACGTGAGTCATATTTAAGAAGAATGAATTCTTGGTTGGCTGGTTTTGCTTTACTTTCTTCACATTTTTTATCCTTAGCAGGTGCAAGCAATGAAATGTGAGGAGGTAACCGATGCAACACACCAACGCTACATTAAATGCCACAGTTAAGCCACTCTTCTTCCTGTCTGCCTGCTGCTATGCTGACACTGATCTGCAGTAAAAAAGAAACAGATCCATTTGTGAAGGTAGTTGATTACAACCAGCGATAGGGCCACAGTTTTTGAACATCAACATTTAAAAATATATATTTTTAAATAGCAAAGCTGTGAGTGAGATAAAAAAAATAGAGTGACACCATGTGTGGAAAAGGTTTTAAAAAGTCCTTGCTCAAGTATTGGAATATGCAATAATTTTACCAAACAAATTTCTCCTGGAATAAACATAAAAAAAACCTTTCCATTGTTGGGATTATCTAGATATCCTTGATGGACCAACGATGATAAATATTAGTTTCTTTATCCATTAAAAAAGAACTTTTCTCTATCAAAACCTTCTTTGGATTATTGTTCCTTAGAAATCCTCTCTGGAACACTGGTCCACTTAAAGCCTTCTTTGAAACAATGGACCATTAAACTGTTCATTAAAGCATTGGTCCATCAAAACCTTTTGTTGGAACATTGGTCAGTCAAGGGAGACTTCTTGTCACTGTGAGTCCATCAAAGGCAACATCTAAAGTGTTGGCACATGGAAAGTAATATCTGGAACTTTGGTCCATAAAAAACATCTTTGTAATGCTGTAATCTCTTGGAACTTTAGTAAAATGAAACCTTTTTTTGAGCGTTGGCCCATCATAACCTTCTTTGAAACACTGCTCCATCAAAAAGTCCTCTGGGAAATTGGTTGATCAAAACCTTCCCTGAAACACTGGTCTGTTAAAGACCTTCCCTGGAACGGCGGTCCAAAAATCACCATTGAACTGAGTCAGTGGGTTTAAAACTCTGCAGTTTGCATTTCAGGTTTTTAAAATTAATAATGATACATTAACAGTGATAATGTTAAAATACATTGAATTGTCTGACCAATCACCATGAAGTTCAGTTCCTGTACTTCTTCTAACTCTTGTCTTGGGGCTGTATAAATCTCTCTAATTTCCCCCAGTCACTCTAGTGAAAACACACATATACTGTAGTTTCTGGTGCTGCTCTTGGGTATTTGTACTAGTACGTGAAAACATACCTTATATATACTAAACAAACCTAATGCCTTTAGCAGAAAATGATGTCACACTTGCTCTTTGTAAGTTGTAATCCTATCCTCTGGTCCTACACCTGCTGGAGAAGTGTGTGTATAATGTATATACGAATTTCCATCCAACCATCTTGTACTACTTATACTGTTAGGGTTCGCAAGCAGAAGGAGCTGGAGCCAATTCCAGGTGAGAGGCACCACACATGCGTGGCTGTAAGACATGGATGTAGACATCTGTTTCCAGTGAAGGTCAGAAAACGAGAAGTAGCAGTGAATCGCTACAGGGGAAGCCGATAAAAGAAAAAAACATTTTATATCATAAAGAAGTTTACAGAAAACAGGATCGCTTATTTAATATATTTCACATCAGGTAACATTTTCCAGAATGCTTCAAGGTCTCAATGACCTGTTTCAGGTCTTCTTTAATAAAACACAATGTCAATTTTGTGAATCATGATATCATACAGAGCCAAACACAGAGAGCATTGAGAGTGATGTATTCCCTAAAATGGTAAATTTCTAGTCTACAGCCAGAACTTTCCTGTGCATCTTTAGGACCATGTATGTGCTCAGTAAGGAATTACCTCATCAAGTGGTTCTCAAACTATGGTATTCCTACCACTGGTTTAACTTATGCAACCTCTAGTGGAACCTGGGGGAATCAGATATCCAGTCTCATTAAGTGAGTCACAGAGTTGTTGAAACTGTTGGTCTCTGTCTTGAATTGAAGGACATAGAGTTGCACTACTTTACCTCACCATGTGTTCTCTGCTGAATAATCCAATTATTTCTAAAGTGAGAGGAGAAGTTTACAACAGGGTAAAACATTCTTGGGCCACTGGTGTAGTTTACATGACAGTGTACCCAAGAGCAATGCTTTGTGGGACTAAACTGTTTCCAGTAACTTTGTGCATGTTTAAAGAGTACATGATCAACGTAGCGCTGCACGTAGATGTGATTTCTGACTGTGTGAAAGAATCGTACTGGAGGAAAATTTAGGAAACAGACATTAAAAGAACATACTTCATATAGATACAGCATGAGAAACCAGTTTGTGGTGAGTTTGGCTACCTGGGTCGTTAACAGGCTCATGACCTCACTAACCATTTTTGGGGCTTCTCAGTTATGATTTTCCAGGTCATAAATACAACATTGGACACGGTTCTTCTGTTTTGTTTGGTTTTCTGCAAAATACCTAACAACTAATAAAATAACCCTGAAGGTTTGCCCTGAAATAATAATAGTAATACAGCTGACTGACTGTGTTAAATATGACATTCAGTTCACCTGCTAACTATTTACTTCAGTGTGGGTGACAAAATGTACAATGTAAAATGGTTTAAATGTGAAAAATTGCTGTAAGGAGAACACATTTCTTCTTAGTTCTCCAGGTAACCTGTATATATAGACAAAGAACAATTATGTCCACATATATAGACTTGTCAGTCTATATATGTAGTGAACACTGTTTAATACATACACAATTTAGAGTTGGAGGAAATTGCCTGGAGATAAAACAAAAAGATCACTGGAAGAACCAAACTTTACCATCGAACATTTCTGGTTCAACCAAAAACATGAACACCTCCTATTCATGGACCTTTTTTCCCACCAATTTGAATGATTGAACATTTTCTTAGAGTTACAAGTTCAGAATATCTCTGTGGAACTTCTCAAGACACAAACATAAGTTGTATGGAAAGAAACACTGCAATAACAGGCCATGTGGTCTGTTTAAAATAGTGTAGAGTAGAGTGAAATAGAGAGAGAGAGGGAGAGAGAGAGACAAAGAGAGAGAGAGAGGCTCCCTGGACTCATTGCCAAAGAAATCCCCTCTCTTCCTGAACTTAAAATAATTAAAATAATACAACATGACTTTTCATCACCTGAGTGATAACAAATACAATCACAACCAAGTTTGTTTAAGTTTGATGTAGTGGAACCTAAAAAAAATATATATTCTAGTAAACTTGTAGAGACCACTGTTTGTCTCTCGTTCAACAGCCGTCAATCAATATTGTGGTCACCATTGTTTTCTGACCATGTGTTTATTATTGCAGCAACACTGAATCCACACATGGCCTGTGACCTAACTAAATAGTAATTTTATTCAACATACCATTTTACCTCAAACCTAATAAGGCCTGTTGACCAAGGGTGTCAAAGGTGTGGACCAGTGGCTAATCATGACATACCTTTTAGCTGTGTGCTAGCTAGCGTCAGACCTAGCTTTTTCAATGTCTTAGCCATGTTAATCACTTACTCTAGGTGCTTTTTTACCTCTTTATCTAGAGTTAGAATTTGGTTTAAATTTTGCATCTGGTGCAGCTCTTGGTAATTTTTTAGTCTGTTGTTGTTGTTCGTTTTTTCTTACTACAATATGAAAGAAAGGCTGAAATGTTTTGTAGAAATCTGTCCATAAATGGCTACTAGTTTCACCACGAGAAAACATGAAGAAAACCATATGTAATTCATTAACGATAAAGGATTAAGGATGAAAGGAAAACATGGTTTAAAATGTACATATAAATCAATATTTACTACACAGACAGCAATTAGCAAAATATGTTTACATTTTAAAATCTAATCCCATTAAATAAAGTTTGGATGTTTTCACCACAGCATCACCAGAGTACAGTGAATTCTTTTTTCCTTTCCTGCAGTAACTGTAACAGTTTCTGCAGTAACTGTAACAGTTTCTGCAGGTCGTACAGCTGCTGCTGGTCTGCACGTGCACTTTGAAGGATTTATGGTCATGCAGCTCTGAAAGTGCGTTTAGCCACTGAGGATTATAACACAGTTGGAAAACATAACCAGTGAAGCTCGGCTTCTGACGCCATAGTGAAGTCATGTCTCTAATAAGTCCCGTCTTATTCTCCTCCTCTTGAAGGTCCAGCAACTGTACACACAGGACTCCGTGATACGACATAAGGTTTCGTGGGAGAGCAACTGGTGCTTTCAGGAAAGAGGTCATTTCCCAGGCACGAGTGATCAAACGGAAGATCAAAGTGTGATATGCATTTAATAAAAGCAAACATCTGAGTCTACGTTCTGGATTCTAGAGTTTAACATTTCATCCCACAATTTATTATCTGTTTGATTTGATTAAAGACTTTCTCGGGAGTGGATTGTACACAGACTACAGCCAACAGTCTGTGCCTGCACCTCCACCTCCCACCTGCAGGTAATGAAGCCCTCACACATTTATTACAGGCTCAGAGAGGAATTCAGCAGCATTATGAGGAAATCCAGGTGGAAGTATAAACATCCTGGTGCTCACGCTGTGGCCTCTGTTTTGTGTCAGACAAGCATATACACATATTTTTGGGCTTTGTTACTCCAAGGAAAACAGTGACGGTATTGAGGTTTCAATAACTGGGGAACAAGAGAGACATTCAAGCTTTTTATTTATTTATTTATTTTACAAAGGAGAAGGCAAACTTCAGTTAAAATCCCAGCTCAGTGTTTATCAGGATGAATAAATAAAAAATAAAAATAAATAGACTATTAAATACAGCATAAAACAACAAGAAACAAGAAGGAAAGTTTGCCATTTGATTAGGGAGCTCTTTGAATCGCATTCTTTTCAAGAAAAGCAGCAGGAGAGTAATGTGAGATAAAAAAGAAAAATACAGATTTTTATTAAAACAAAGTCCCTTTTCATTTTAGCAAACATCAGGTCTGTGAGCTACAACAGAATAAACAGTGAAGATTCAAGTGTTCAGGTCTGTGAGCTACAACAGAATAAAGGAGGCGACACAGTGAAGATTCAAGTGAAGGAAGGTGAACATCAGTAACAGTGATTGGCAGTCATTACTGAAGAGAGAAAGCAGAAAGGCCAAATCTGCAGCGTAAATCCTCCTGAAACAGTGGTTCCTGAGTGACTTCAGGCACATGGTTGACTTCCATTTGTGCTTTTTTTAGTCTTTTTTTTTATTTCCCAAATTGTGAGCCTTAAATAAGAAGAAAAAAACTTGTTTAGAACAAAATTCTTTCATGGAAGAGGCTCCTGAGTTCACAAACAAAATTATATCAACTGTCAGTAACACAGTTGTTTTTAACAATTCAACACAGATTTTTTTTCGTTGTTGTCATTTGAAAATGAGGTACATACTACACTGCTATCCTAGCATTGCCATTGTAGTGCATACTTGTTTGTTCCGTTGTATTCTGGAAAAACGGAAGACAAAAAAGCAGTCTTCTTTTTACTTTATTCTGGGGAACATTTTTGGTTTTTGAACCACTGTTTGGGAAACACAGTTGTAAGAGCCATTTAAAGAAAAGAAAAAGACACCAACTGCTGCTCAAAAAAACAAGCATTAATTAAATGCTTTCAATTCTTATAACTGTCAAAGCATGTACTGGAGTTCATTTACAGTTGAGTTCAATCTGCTCACAACAGAAACAACAAAGTTACAAGTATATGTACTGAGAAGGTCCTTCCAAACTAACTGGGTCATTGAAATTCCAAACCAGGCTGTAATTAAGTATGAAATCACTTTTACCACAGTGATTTTCACCACCTCCCTCTTCATCACTGGCCTGTTGCTAACAGATTAACTGCCCTCCCAGCCAGCATGTCCATGTCCACCTCAAACTGTTGTTACTTTGACACCTTCCATTTAGCTTAACTCACTTGTGGTCACTGTTACTCTTGCAAATCAGAGACAAACCAAGATTTGATCCAAGTGCTACATAGTAAAATGTCACTGTTTTAAACAAAGCAGAGAATGAAAAAAATTCAAAATAAAAAAATTTACACAAAAGTACCTCATATATAGGTGTTTGTTTTTTAGCTTAGTGTTAAACGTTGCGCCAACAGAAGGCCGAGACCCTGGGTCACTCTTAGGTTCTTACACACCTAAGCAACAGCGTCCCTACAGCTCCACCTCCAGGCCACTTCAAGCTCATTTTGGCTGTCATCTTGGTGCTGCGTCCTCATTGGTCCTGCGTCCTCATTGGTCCAGCAGCGAAGGGACCAAAGTGCCAATTTAAGGGAGACGCCATGACATCAGCGACCACAGGCAGATTCTAGCCTGGACTCCACTGCACACAGACTAACTAACACAACTTACTCCACTTCCCTTGTTTGTTTGACTGTGGAGAGAAGAAGAACAGGCTGCAGCACCGGTGCTGCTCCCTGATCCAGACTAATTGTCCATTTTTATGGAGCTGGAATCTAAGATAAAGGAACAACATGACCATAAATGCATGAGAAACTGTACAGAGATGTGTAATAAAAATAGATATCTAAAATTACAGTCTAATCGAGTCATTTACTGCTGAGCATTTTCTCCATTCCCATGTGGATATGATGAAAAAAACAAATCACAAATATACAGTGAGTCAGTCTGTTTCAGTCGGCTTTGAAAGATCCCAGGTCATTTCTCCTTTTTGTTGTTTTTTTTTTTTTCTCGGATCAGCCGTCCCCGCAGTTTCGCTCCAGCTCAGGTTAAGAGAGTTCAAAGGGCTCCCTGCTTCAGTGCCCGGTTTTAATGCTGCTCCTTTGTCAGGATCACACTGCAAACACACTCAGGGTGCTGGTCTGGTCCTTCAGACCCAAGATACTGTAGGCAATTCTTTTCAAATGGCCGGGGAGCCTCACTCCAATGTTCTTAATGTCCCTGTGAAAGACAGAGACAAGAGAGTGTGTCAGAGGAGCAGCACATGGACTCACACACTTGGACCCATTCCAGCACTATTTATCCACATGCTTCCTGCCTGTGAAGCCTTGAAGCGATCAAAGACCTGTTCCATGTGCTAAGATGTCAGCCTGGAATCTCACACCACTCGTGTGTCACTGCATCAGAGAATCTGTGTAGCTACAGTGATGAGTATACGTGTGATGAATAAATAAATATGACTGACTTCAAGTTTGCAGTGATGGAGGTCGTAGATTCAAAACCTTCTGTTCATTGTTGAAGATACTGTATCAGACCCTTTGAACACAGTAAATAAATCCACACTGTAATATTTCAAGTGTAGGTTAAATATTCCTATGATGTTATGGCCATAGAAACTCCTCCATCACCCAGTAATAATAACAAAACACTGATTATGTTCATAATAACTTGCCTCAAAGGACAATTACGTGACTGTAATGATTCCCAATGGGCCAAAAGATAGGAAATATCCCAGTATGGTATATGTATCAATCATTGAAATGGTTGAGGAAATTTGTGCAAACAGATAATAATTATGTGACGGGCCAAAAAAGTTCAAATCAGACAGAAGGTTCTTCAAATGAACATCTTTAAGAACAAAAAAAAAGGATCTCACAGGGAATCAAAGAAATACACCTGGCTTCTCAGTTCATGCGTCACCAGGATCACTGCCCAAAAATGGGTAAAAATTATAAACTGTCCCTACGACTGGATTAAAGACAAATACATTGAGGCCCAGTGGGACATTTTTGTTTGTTTTACTTCCAAGAGTAAAATCCATCAGAGATCATTAATCAGTGGAGCCTATGGAATGGTCTGAAGCAGTGTTTCCAACTGCAGGAACACTGGAAAAATCAGCAGGAGAGGTCAAGAAGAAAATATTATTTAAATGTAAATGTTGGGAAATCCTGTGAGGGGCACAGGGATCAACTCCAGAGAATTAGCTGAGAAATGTACAAAATAACCTGTGCTACTGCTTTTTTTTTATTAAAGAAATAAACAGTTGGAAGTACATTAGGACTGTAAAAGCTCTCCTTACATGGATTGTGTGAGAACAATACAACCTTTGTGCTGTTTCTTCCCAGTCCCTAAACCTGCGAGATTAGAGTTGATCATTGCCATTAACGACTAACACCGACTTCACAGGCGCATGATGTAAACCTGCAGAAGCTCAGCAGCAGAGTCCAAAGTCAAAGCCTTAATTACAGCTTTAATTACTTAACGAGGATTCTCCCTGTTGACCATGAATCACTCGTCTGGCAACCAGAGGGTGGGCTGTAAATAACTGCTGGTTTCTTCAGAGTGCTACCAGATGCCCTGTGATGGAAACATGGGGCCATGAAGTGACACCATTCACTGTGACAAACACTTCAAAAGAGTTTGTCGTCTGCTTCGCAGTTTGCCCATCTCCTCAAGTCAAGTTTAGCACAGCAGATGAAGAGGAGCAGGAGGAGGTGAAGGTGGGGGAGGTGGGAGGGGTTTTCGTCTGGTTGGTCATGCGGTTAGCAAAAGGCTCTGGTGCTCATTATTGTCCCAAAACAACCTTATATCATGTGCTTCACCAAAGCTTTTTTTTTTCTTCCACAAAAGGTTGGGCACATTTTATTAAATTGTCCGCTCAGCTTCACATCTGAGAAGATCCAGTTGCCTCGGAGTCTCCTGTCCTAAGTTCAGGGGGTACACTCTCAGTGCAGCTCCTCAATCTTTCTACACATACACATGGCCCGACTGTGGGGATTCAAATCTCATCCATCTATTTCACCAGCTTAATCTCCTCTAGTTACTGCAGCTCCTGGGGCTACTCTCTCCGCCTGTTCTCTCTTTTCCCTCCCTTTAATGTTGAAGAAGCCGCAGAAGGCCTTTGCCCTACACAGGCAAAAGCGGTGGTTTTTGGGGCTCGAGCAAAAGTGCTGCCCAGGGCAGCTAGTGTGTGTGGGTGCAGGGAGGGATGAGAGAAAGAATGAAGAGAGCATAAGAAGAATAAGGAGCGCAGCGACCACAAGCCACCACCACCAGCCGACCACAAATGAGCCCACTCCTTCCCTAGATTGCTTTTTCCATCTCAAACATTTCTCAAGTTGTAACTGAGGCTGGAGATTATGCAGCCTCTGTGCACATACTACTGGCTGCTAAGAGCAGGACTTCAAGGAAAAACATAAACTCCATAAAAAAAGGTCAGAACGCGACATATATCATGTAAAGAGAATCTTGAAAACCAATAAACAAAGCAAAACCCTGAAGATTTAAACAGCTCTGTGATGTGACACTTACTCATTCTTCATCTGAAGAACCTGGTCCATGGTGACAATCCCAGCACAGGTAAAGTTCTCACTGTACTGACTCATCTTAATGGACTCCAGCCACTCAGACACCGACCTGAAGGGGGAGCCGTCTGACCCGCTGGTACTGGGCAGGCGAATGGATACGCTGCAAGCAGAGTGAGAAATTAGGACCTAATTGAGGATTTAAATGATAACAATAAACAGGTTTTACCACAACAAACGAGAGACAACAGACTGAGACTGTAATTACTGTGGAGGTGAAGACACGATGTTGGAAAAAAAGAAAAACCAGTCTGAGCAGTCTGAGCAGTCAGGCTATCAGACGATTGTGATACAGGCAAAGCTACTTGGTGGTTGTTGGTCTCACCATTTCTGGCTTTAGTGCCGCTGCACAAAGGGGATAACGTGCATTTGTGCATGCAACTCCACACAAAGGAGCTTTAGTTCACACACATTGCTTTCATTAAGGCTGGCAGGCTAGGTGGCGGTACTTCCTTTTAACAGGCCGTCTTTAGGGCAACAAAGGAAATATTAGTTCTCCACATTCACTTGACTGCAGACATAATGCTCCAAAAAAACTATAAAGGTACATTTAGGGATTTTTCATGATCAATCCACTCCTTATCAACTTTAAATAGCAGGTACAGAACTGTTTAAACTGTTTAAAGGACTGTCACTCAACGTAGCTGCTTTTTAATATGCAAAGTTCCACCATTAGAAGGACAGAGAGAGGAGTGAATACACATGACCAATCAAAGCCCTTTATTTAGTTTTTTTTTATCTAAAGAAATCAATCATTTCTTTGAATCTGAAGACACATCTCCCTGTCTTTCTGTCTTACATCTAGTCCACAACTAGGCCTTGTGCAACATTTAGTCAAAACAGAAACATAAATATAAAACATTCTTATTACCATGAATTTGACCAGAAATGAAACAGTAACAGTACAGAAAGCAGTAAGAAGAAGTGAGAATAAAAACCAACTATATTTATTGAAATATAAAACACTGTGGTTTAACAGCTGGTTCCATTACCAGGCAGCTAACAGTGGCATTTACTGTTGTGTAGGTGAAAGTCATACCGTGGGTCAAAGTCTGCGATGGTCTTCAGGGAGTCTGGACTCCGCAGCAGCTTGTCCAGGAGGCTGACGATGTCTCCAAAACGTGGCCTCTTGGAGCGATCCTGAAGCCAACACTGCAGCATCAGCTGATAAACAGCCGAGGGGCAATCCATGGGAGCGGGCAGCCTGAAGGCCTCGTTGATGGCCTTCATCACCTAGAAGAGGAATATTTTACTTCTCTTTGCACAAATGTCTTCAATCTTATCCCTTCTTTATGTCTAATTTAATGAAGGAAATGGACTTGATCATAAACAAACACACTTTTAGAGGTCCATTAGCTACACATTAGATTTTCTTTCAAACCCACCTCATGGTTGCTCATGTCCCAGTATGGTCGTTCCCCAAAAGCCATGACCTCCCACATGACGATTCCAAAGCTCCACACGTCACTAGCTGAGGTGAATTTCCTGTAGGCTATCGCTTCTGGAGCCGTCCAACGAATAGGTATCTTTCCTCCCTGTTTGGATAAAAACTTCGTCAGAGACAAAAAAAACCCTACTCTTTTACACCATGCAGCTTTGACCTTTGACCTGTGTCTCCTTACACTTGTGGTGTATGTGCCCTCAGGATCGTCCTCCAGGACCCTGGAGAGGCCAAAGTCGGAGACTTTACACTCCAGCGTGTTGTTTACGAGGACGTTGCGGGCAGCCAGGTCACGGTGGACGTAGCTCATGTCAGAAAGATATTTCATTCCTGCAGCGATGCCTCGCATCATCCCAACAAGCTGGAAGGAGGAAAACTCCCCATCGTGATCCTGATGGAAGATGAAACAATGTAGATATTATGCATTGGTTTCAATACATTGAACATTTCAACAACAAACACTGGTCTGTGTTGGACTCACCCTGAGGTACCTGTCCAGTGCTCCATTCTCCATGTATTCAGTGACAATCATCGCGTGTTTAACTGCTTTTACAAAAGCAAAACAAAATATAATGTTATTTAATTGGTTCAAACATGTAATGAAAAAATATGTGGGGAGGGGGGGGGAAGATATTTTAAAGCTCAAAACTCACAGAAATCCTTACATTTGGTGACCACTCCTTCCAAATGAATGATATTCTGGTGGGAGAACTGGCCCATGATGGAGGCTTCACTCAGAAAATCCTGTCTCTGCTTTTCTGTGTAGCCAGGCTTCAGTGTCTTTATGGCCACCGTCACTTCTTTCCTGCCCGGCACCTTCAGAATACCACGGTACACCTCTCCAAATTCACCTGCAAAAGGGAGGAAAAAAAACACCTTTAGACCCATATCAGGTGACGGAGTGTTGTCAGGTTAACAGAGGAGAGTGAAGGCGGAGGATTTGCCCCAGGGTTCCTGTCTGTGAGGAGGTGTGTTCTGGCTGTGTGTTGAGAGACAGAGCCTTGTGCAGTTTAATTGGTGAATGGCCTGTGGTGTGGGAGCATGGGAATCAGCTGTCACATGAGGATAAAGAAGGGAATGGAGGGGGGTCACGGTCGTGGGAATTAGGGAGGAGAGTGTCATTCAAAGGGTAAAGGTGGTCATACTTCAATTAACCCTTATGTTAAGAAAACACATTTACCTTTTAATTAAGAAACAACAGAAGACATATTTCACAGGTCTGTTCCTTTTGACTAGATAGAGTAAATAATACAGATATTCATATATTAGAAGGTACAAAACTGGGCTTTAGTTAAAACAGTCTACCAAGGTATTTGAAAAACAGTGAGAGTTTTCCACAAAATCCTTGATAAAATTCAAATATATACATTTATTTAAAAGATGCTTTAGAAGTTTCTGACTAATTAAAAAATCTTAAAAGCTTTTTAAAAAAGTAATTTGTTATTAAATACTTAGATTTCAATTTCAGATCATTCCTTTTTTATCCACTTTGCTCCACTGTTCCAAATCTATTTTCCAAACTATCGGGGCAGGTAGGAGCCAACAGGGTGCTCTGATATCAGTCCAAAAATTCTGTTTCTGCAACACTTGTAATTGTTAGTCACGCTGAGCCAAAACACACACATCTGATGGCCAAGCATTGCGACACGACAAAATGTCTGAACTTGTTGTGTGAGAAGTGCACAGGGAGCCAGGTAGATGCTAATCTGCCTGAAGTAACCACTGTCAATCAGCTTCTTAAGACCCAGTATAAACAGCAGAGTTTGGGGAATGTAAAAATCTGTCATCGTCTCAGAGTTTAGATTGACTCGACGGCGTCGTCACTCACCAACTCCAATTACTTTCTGTTTGGTTATATGGTTGGGGTGGATTTCCGTGGCAAACTTCAGCACGGCTACGTTGGGGTCCTCGTAGGTGTGAGGATCCACGTAGGTCTTCAGAGGCTTCAGTTGGTCTAAGGGTGAAAGACCTAGGTTTATTTTGTGTTATTAAAGTAAATGTTGAGGTGAATGAAGACAGATTTAAGAGACTTTTTTGATGAATCTACCTGAGCTTGAAAAGTAGGTGTCCTCTGGTCCTTGTCTGGTGTGAGAGTTTCTTTTCCTGAAATGAAGAAAATAACATTATAATAGTTACTAAAATTCATCTACTAACTCTCTGTGATTATTGATGCAATTATGAGCATCCACGTCAATAAAATATCAAAAACGTTACAAATGGCATTTTTCCAACAAAAATGGTTATGAGAAATTAAAAATATATGAAAAAACTCCAACAAATACCAATCTATGGCAAACGTTGTGATCTTATGACAGAATTAGTCAAGGGAATGCTGACTCAAAATACTTCAGGGCTCAGTGAAGACAGACATTTAAAAAGGAAGAGGGTTTGGCACAACAGTGACATGACTAAGAGCTAAATGTGCCTCCATAAATTACAAAAACTGGCTAAAAGAAGCCTGTTGTGACATGAAATGTAGCATCTCTGTACTTTGTGCAATACAAGTTTACAGGTGGGTACATTTATGAAACCAAATTACTTTAGCCCTGACAGGTTGTGGATTTCTTTCAATTGAAATGCCCTGAATATAATTAAAAATAAACCTAACCCTAAAATAAACACCTTTGAGTCCTTCTTTAATGTGAATAAATCTCAGTACCCAGTCAGAGTCCTGACACTGCTGATTTTCCTGAGTCTACAGCAGAGGAAGCAGCACTTTGATAAGGACTGAGAGCAGACTGTTTGCTGAGCTGATTCAACAGACCAAATAGAAGGGAAGCTGGACAGACTGGCAGCAGTCTGTAAATGTACAGACACAGGTCACATTAACAAAGGCCCAGAAGTCTGGTACAGAAAGAACCGAGCTCCTCTTATCACCAACAATGCCCCATTCTGGACAAATGCCTCAACACTCCCTGGTATACAGTCATTAGGCACCTACCACACAACCAGTTTCACCCTAGAGTGAGCTGGGACACAGGTATAGATTAAGAGAAAAGACTAAAGTGGCTAATGAAAGAAAACAAGAATAACAGAGTGAAAGCAAGGGCCATTTGGGTGGCCGTACAAGGAAGAGTAGAAGAATGAAGGAGGACTTCAGTGGAGAAGGTTGTCATCTACAGCAGGAGAAAGAAATGAGTGACGCTGAGGTGATCACAGAAGAAGGCAGTTACTGACCTCCTGCGCAGGAACAGAATCACAACTACTATGAACAACATGGCTGCTGCCCCAATGGCTGAGATGAAGATGATTGCTGTGTTGTTTGGAGCAAGGTGTCCTGGGGAAAAAAACAAGTCATGTTGAGGGATGGAGTTTTTAAACAAAGCTTTGTTAATGCTTTTTGTTCCAGTGGTTTCCCTCTGTACCTTCAGATGAAGTCTCAAAGTGTTCCTCTAAGATGGAGCCTCCGGCGCTGCCGTCAGTGCCGAGGGCCTGAACCCTGAACAGGTAGACGGTGCCTGGGGTCAGATCATTGATCTGGACGGAGTTCTTTTCAAATCTGTGGACAATGTAAGTGGTGCCATCCAGTGTTTCATCCTGAAAGACAGGAACAAGGAGTTAAAGAAATGCAGTCTTTTTCCCTCTCTTACAACCAACACTGTTATCAAGTTCTGAGTATTTCAGTCAAAGTCAAAAGTCCAGGTCCTACTGAGTCCAACTATGATAACTGAACTCAATCCAATGTGGACTGGCTGGGGTCAGTGGTTAGTAGTTATATCATAAGAGTCAGGTATGAAAAGCCATATGATTCAGGTCCATTCGTGACATCAGTGTCATCAATAAAACACAACTGTAGTAAATGAAATATACCATTTAAACACACTTCGAAGATAATAACAAAAAAGCAGCTTACATTTTTGCGGTAGGTAATTTCATAGCGAACGGCCCGATTCTGGGCCCGTGGTTGGGGTGATACGTCCCAAGAAAGGGACAGACTGGTGGGCGTCCTCTCCACCAGTCTTATTGCCATGATTTTGGGAGGATCTGAAAACAGGAGAGAGAGAATAATTTAGTATCCATAAAAATTGCCAACCTGAAAAATGGTGTCACTTGCAATGAGGGAATGACCTCCTATAGCTACTTCAGAGCTGCTACTGTTTTTCTGATAGCATCTCCTATTACTGCAGCACTGATATCATCGGCCACTGCTTCATATCAGCACAACTCACCTGTGTAGTGAAGATATGTAGTCAGAGCGCTGGTTGATGGAGGTCGATTAGCCCGCGGCGAGGCTTGATTCACAAACATAGACACTCCACTGTGGGCCTCCACAGTGAAGGTGTAGTTCAGGTGAGCCTCCAGCTCGCTCACCGACACCTTGGTGTCGGTCAGGCCCACGCTGCCAGGATCGTATCGTATTTTCTCTCCGCACGGCTGACAAGCTGTGCCATCACAGCGCAAACACTCAACGCTGTAGGTGATGTCGGTTCGACCCCCTGTGTCTTCAGGTGGCGTCCAGGAGAGGAGGATTTTTCCTGCCGAGAGCTGTGTGGTGGTGGCCACGAGATCTCGAGGAGCAGATGGGATACCTGAGTGACACAGATAGAGAAAGAATGTGAAAATTAATTAAAGATTAAAAGAAAATATGGTAACATCAGAAAAAAAAAATATATATATACCGTGTCCACTATTATTAGCATTTAGATTTATGGACCTTTAAACAACTGATGAGAAAAGTCACTGATGATTGTTCACGGCTGTTCATACAGTAGACGGGTGTGATCATTCGGTACAATAATAAAGCTAGAATGTCCTGACAGAGTCAATGTAAATATTAAAAGAAGTCAAGGCATTGCTAAAGACTAACAGCACATTTAAGCCACTTAATCTGGTAAAGGTAAACAAGTGCAAAGGACAAAAGAATGTTAGAAACCCAAACATAAGGAAGGAAAAACAGACAAAAGTATGTTTTTGTGCCACAGCCTGAGTTACAGTTTAGGGTGCAGTTTCACAGGAAGTGGACCTAATGCTAACAGGAATATACCTACACGTCTTTGTGTGATTGTACTACAGTTAGAACGGTCCCTAAACAGTTCCTGTTTGACAGGCAGAACTTTTAGGCAGTAAAATAGGTTAAGATGAAACCTGCAGTGAGTACTTTTCTGATTAGTTGAAGGTTATCAAACACTCTAACTTAACTAATTGTTAATCCTACTTGCTGATTATACTACAGTTTGTTTCTGAAATCATTTTTATATAATCTTTTGGTGAATTTTTAATGAGATTTGAACATTTAGCTATTTCCAAACTTCTGCGATCTGTGGGCTAGCATGTTTGGTTGTTTAAATGCCCTAAGATGAGGTTTTATGGGGTTTTTTCCACAATTCATCTTCTTTGCTAGATTTCAACATTCTTCTACTTACCGGTGCACGGTCCAGAGGGGGGGTCTGTTGGAGCCCGATAGAAGCCGTCCATGCAGGGACAGACCAGGGCTCCAGTGCTGAGCCTCTGGGTGTGGGCAGGACAGGGCGCACACTGGTGGTTGGATGCTTCAGCTTTGAAGAAGCCAGGGCGACACTCTGCAGACACAGAAAAAACAGATTTGCATTCAAAAAGGAGCACAAAGACAACAAACCAGTCAACCGCAGACCAGATCATCCCATGAACTCAATGTTGAGCCACTTCACTCTGACATGGAAGATCAGTCATAGTACAAGTGAACTCTTCACCTCTCAAGAAAGGCAACATGGTTGATAGGATGTGTTAAATATGTCCAGGCTAAAGGTCAGATTTGGACAAGGGACAGAGATATGAGAGAAAAAACAGAGTGGAGGCTCTGCACTGTGTTGACTTTATTCGTTAAAACACTGTCCACTCCAGTGAAGACACTGTCCACGCCAGACAAAAACATACTCCTTAACCAACCGGCACTCCTTTCTTTTCTCTCTCCTGCTTTTTTTTCTAGCAGCAACGCCTCGCTGCCTGTTGCTTTCTTACAGTCTCAACAAACAAAACCAGTCAGCCTTCATTCCGCTGCGGCAAGACTGTCCTTAGTGCTACGTAAAAAGGAACAAATCAAAGAAAGAAATATTTAGATGTAAGGCTTCTTTAGAACAGCTTTCCTTTACAATGAACTCTCTGTTGTTTTTTTTCCTCTCATTGGAGCGGACTCTTGAAACTGTATCTTTGAGATAAGATGACATCAAATTTCACACGTCCAGCACCAGATGAAGAAATATGCAGGTAGAAGCTGTGGCGGTGTGTAAGGCTGGTGAAATATGAACTTAATACAGTGTGAAATTTTCAGAGAGGACACATCCCAAAAATGAGACGCCCCCGCGCTTTGACTCTGCTAGAACATTCCAGCGGCTGTCGCTTATGTCCTCACACCACCATCACACATCCATTCACTCCAGTATGCACAGCACACATGCAGCAGCATGCACATGTAGGCACAAAACACACGTACATGTATTCAAAGCGCACGGGGGTAAATCTGACATCAGAAGACAGATTACATACGATGCCTGTCACCTGTTCACGTCCCTCTCTCCAGACGATACACACCGACTCTTTAGCACAAACACACACTGGCACAGGCAGACATGTGGCTCGAAGCACACACACTCTTTTAGTGTCATTAGTTGGAACATTAAAAGAGCTCATGTCAGATTTCCTAAGACCTTGACTTGATAAAGCCAGTTAAAGCCCACACAGACCAAAGGACATGAGGAGTTACAGCAGGAAGAGCCAAGTCCACTCCATCGGACAGTTAGAGCTCCTTCCTCTTCCTCTTTGGCTACATTCATTTTGCCTCAAAGTCTCAGAAATACTTTGATTTATTTCTCGCCTAGCTGTATGTTAAGTATTAGCTACTTTGGCTGAATTTAGCTAGCTCTTTAGCTAACAGGCTCCTCCATATTTCAGTTTTTGTTAGTAACTAACTCTAAGTAAGGCAAACATTTGTCATTTTCACATTTTTCTGGTTACATCTGGACATACAGAACTATTTCTTGCTTAATTTTGGTTATTTCCAATCCCCTTTGAGCATTCTATTAGAATGTTTTTAGCTATTTTGCCAATTGTTTTATCTGACCTAAATTTTATGTAGCTTAAAGTGTTTGTTTTGCAATGTTTTCAGTAACATTTCATTTTATTGTTAAGCTTACTCCTGGAATACATAGAAAACAGGACTGTTCGGATCAGAGGTGGAACATTCCCAAGAGAACTCAATGCAAATAAGGTTGGTAGTACAGAGGGAGGACACGATATCTAAGTCAAATGAAGCGTGGAGACTCAGATTCATGCCTGTGTCCAGGGAGAAGCAACAAAAATACTGTCAATGCAAACAGATTCAGAGTCAGGGTAGAACCAAGGACAAGGATAATATCCAATTCACCCACAGATACTGTCTCTGTCTGCGGCTGCATTTCAGAGCACTTCATTTGAATGAAGTTTCTCTTGGAAGCCACCAGTGACCACACACTAGACCCGGGGCATGCAGCTCCTGCTCCATTTAAGTCCTATCAAGGGGATTTACTCAACTGACCATGAGGTTCGCTTCATTGGCAGTCTGCTTCGTTCTATCATTGTGGTTGACCGTTGCGGCAGGGCTGCTGTGAAAAGTCTTGTATTAACTGAAGAGCATGACAACAATGAAACGCACTTAGCTCGCAGAGAATTTGTACATTTGTCCAATTGCCTCGCACGTGACTCAACCCTCCTTCCCTTCGACGACATACACCCCTGGCCAGCTGTTTCCCTGACAATTACTGCTACTCATTAACGGAGTGCAGGCAGAGGATGGGCGAGGCAGAGCAGAGGTGGTGTAAGGAGACAGAAGGTTTAGAAAAAAGACAGACAGGGATACTGTATCCTGCTGAGGACTGAAGAAAAGAGTGGAGAAAGAAAGGAGACGGGCCGGGGTGAACCCCTCCATTGAGAAGTGGGAACAGCTGCTGTTTCAAACCCAGATTCATTCCCCTACCTCTGCTCCTCGTAATCCCCCAAATTCCTTCCTCCCCCTTTTTTCTCTCCTCCCCGCTCCTTACTAAAAAGGCTCCGAGCTAACCCATTAACATTGCTATTCACCACTGACCAGCAGGCAAGTAGAATGCCATGCCATTCAAATGCTGAAAGAGAAAAAAAACATACACAAGCACTGCAGATGGGAATAACCAATGATGCCACATGGCAGCTGAATAGAGGAGGACTAGCCTCTTTTTGGCGCTGCAGTGTAGGCTGCAATGCATCGTGGTCAGGCCTGCGGAGACGAGGGCCTTACACTGTAAGATGTCCCTATAATCAAGATGCATTCCAGTGCACACCACCCAACGGGAGCCTTGAAGCAGCTTCAGCTTCATTTTCTGCCTTGTTCTCTATGGTAAAGGTGAATGAGTTTGTGTTCCGTGAACATGTGTCACAGCAACGGTAAGAGAACGTGATGGCTCTGTGCAAAGGTATTTAAAAGGAGGATTCTTCGCCAAAAGAGCAAATAACAGTGAAAGCAAAACTTCCTGGTTCCAGTGGAAAAGTGGAGAGGAGAGACTTTGAATTGTTGCTGGACACAACAGGAAGCAGGAAGCACGAGTCTGACGCAGTCTTCCTTCCTCAAGCAGCCAATCAAAGCATGGAAACATGAAGGAGTGTGACCAGCAGAGAAATCAGCATTGGTCCTTACACAGAATAATACCCAAAAGGAAGCTATGACATGTTGACTTTAGATGGACTTGGGCTTTAAGCCCTAGAGACGTGGGGGGAGGGGCTTATTTCTTTTCATAAACAAAAGTCCCAGCCGACAATCTTGGAGCAGTTACTTCTTCTCTCAGATTGCTATAAAGCAAAGGAACTGTTTGTCATTGGAGAGGCCCCGTGCACCTCGAGTGGCTCTGTGTTTGTTTATTGAGAGTGCACAGGGGCCTGTTACATATTGGGAGCCTGAGTGGCTCTAGTGTGAGAGAGCCCAAGGGCCCCTCGGTTTGTCGGCAGAACTTAAGACGGATGAGATGGCGACAGTGATGAATGCCTGGTTGGATGGACGGAAGAATGGGTAACATGGTGGCTTGACAACAGAAATCACCCTCAGGACTC